CATCATCAGCATCATCATCGTCGTAATCATCATCGTTGTCATCATCACCACCCCCACCACCACCATCATCATCATCATCGTCATCATCGTGACTATTGTCATCGTTTTCATCAGAACCCGATGGCCACCGCTACACTACAAAGAGCTGACACAACTGGTAGCAGCAGCGGCTCCTCATTGAGCGCAGGCCTGGTTTGCCTTCATGGCATCTGTGGTGGTCCATCAAGGCTTCGAGGCGCGCTGGTGCAACATCGACCGCGCGTGCATGGGGTCGGGGTTGAGGGTGGGAGTCTTAGATTCTTAGCCTCTCTTCTCGTGAGGATTCCTGAAAATTAATGACGACGTACCAGTGAGGTTTCGAGGTCGGAGCTTGGGGCTTGAGAAGGCGCGTCTGGGTTTTCAGGGAGTCGGGCGTCGGGCGTGACAAATGTTCAGTTCAGATTCTTGCCTGCTTGGATTCTTTTCGGCGAGTGCCTTGGGTCTGCCTAAATTGATACATGTAGACATGTAGACATGCATGCATGTAAGCAAGCAAGTAAGCAGGTATGTTTGCCACGGGGCCCAAGATGCCAGTTCACAGTTGAGCCTTGAGCTTTCAAAACAGCTTCAGGTGTGGAACATCCAGCGTGGGGTGCTGGACGACACCATTGTGCGGCTGGAGGACCTTCCCGTTGCCAAGGCCAAAGCCTGCAATTCTCTGTAGAGCGGGGTCAGCATCGTAGGCGGATGCCGTGCGATTTCCGCATGCGGTTTCCGGATCTTTTTCATGCATCCGAAACGGAGGCAATGTTCTGGGATTTGAGGCTAAAAGTCTCGCTCGCGTGAATCCCCCTGAAGTCTTGTAGAGCCTTGCATGCTGCTGCCATTTATCCGGTGATCCTGGCAGGTCTGCGCCCAGATAAACGAGGCTGTCACGATTATCTCCTTCGCTTTTGTAAGCGCGGTGATTCTCGTCACTTGCTACATCCAGTCTGTTTTGCTCTTGGCCGTGGATGGCGCTCTGGATGACTGGTGCTTGGAGGCTGCGCAAGTAGATTGGTTGTGCTTGTGTTTATGCAGGAACTGCCAGGTATGGTCATGCAAGCGCTTTCAGTTTAGGTATCAGTACATGCATCACCGGGTTCGTGTTATTTCCTCGCTCTCTACCCAGTCTACGCTGCACACGCGGCCAGCATCGTGATTAAAACTAGCTCGTTTCGGTTCCTTCTCAACGTGTCTCAGCAGCAGCCGTCTCTTGGCACTCCGAAAAAGCGGCTGAAGGTGGAGGTGAATTTCGATCCAAAGCTGTAGTCCCGCATGTCAGGTCTACGACTCCCAAGACTACGAGGTTGGAGTGAAGACCTGGAACCGGATGCAGGCGCTTCTGAAATGCTTGGGCCGAGAGCTGGAGACATCCACGACCCTGGGTGTGCAAACTGGGGCATCCTTTCGAAGGCTTCGGGAACCCTGGGGTACTTGGACGACAGTGGCGATGACGACGATGATTGCGATGGTGATGATGATGATGATGACGGATGATGATGATGATGATGATGATGATGACGATAATGATGGTGGTGGTGATGGTGATGATGACGATGATGATGGCGATGGCGGCATGATGGTGACGGTGATGAAGATGAAGAAGATGTTGCCGACGCCGGCAAGCTGCTGTTAACATCAGCTTCAAGCAAACTGGCTACGGTAACAGACAGACAGCTGCACGAGTCGCAAGGGTGTTGATGCCAACCTGCCATCGCAGCATTGATGCCGATGGCACTCGTAGTGCGGATCAGCCCCCTCCATGCCGCCCAAACTCTGCTCAGGATTCTCCTGCAAGCCTTTGGCGGGATTGGCTTCGTCGCCTACTGTGCAAGCGCTGTGAGCGTCGTGATCCAGGCACCCCGCCATTCATCTGGAATGCTGAATTCATACGAGCCTGCCCCTGAGCGGCTTGTCTCATGTGACATTGCGCATGAAACAACACAGAGTCGATCTGGACGGCTTGTAATGTCGGCTTCCGATGGTCGCACGCACCCTGATGCAGGAAGAGCGTGGGAACTTGGATTCATCCATGAAGTCTGTGATGCCTTGCTACTGTCACACTCCCAGCAAACTTACATACACACACACACACATTTGCATTGACCCATGATATCACTGAAGTCATATATCGGGTTAGCAAGCTAGGATCATCCTTTCATCTCTTCATTTCTTCCTCCGCTCTTCTTCGATCATATCCATTTCTTCATTCAGCTCAGACTCTCAGCGCAGATGGTTCAGAAATGCTCATCGCTTCGGCCACGTAGAAACAACGGCTTTGAGGGTGTGTTTTTGGGCGGCCATCTCTGCAGGTACACACTTGAGCGTCCGCAAGTGCTTCCACTGATTTGCCATAACTTCGTTGGACAGGATAGGCAAATCAGCTCCTGTGCCCCTGCTGCATTCCTTTGCCCTTGGTGACAGGGTGTCACGCACACACACCCATACAATCTCGGCTAAAATATCATCAACTTCATCTTCCTCGCCGATTATCACCATCATCATCGTCATCATCTTCTTCTTATCATCATCATCATCATCATCGTCGTCGCCATCAACAACAACATCATCATCCCCTCATCTGCCTGCCGCCGCCACCCGCACGACAACGACGACCACCACCACCACAGCAGAGCGGCCTGCAAACCCAACTGGCCAGGCCTCCTTTGAGTCTCTGTCGCTCTCCATGATCGCTGGTGCCGGTGCACCTGCCATCTTTTTGCTGATGCATCCTGGCTTCGACAAGCTTTCGGCTAGGGGTTGGGTTGCTGATGGTCTCAAAGCATGGTGGAACTTCTTGATAACTTCAAAGCTGAGGCGGCTCCTGCCGCAAACATCGTGAGGCTCACATTTTAAGCCTGAAATTCCGACACCAAGACGCCCACTATCTTCGGTTCGCACTGCTTCGAGCCGGCAGAGCTGAGAGAAGCCAAGGATCGCAATCCGACTCGGCGCGCAGGCCGCGGCCCTTACCGAGAAATGCCGGGTTCTTCCCGCATTTGTGCGCCGCGGCAGCTGTCCTGGTAGGGTTGTAGGTGGTAGGCTTCAGCGCTTCGAGCTGGCTCTTTTGGACCTCGCCCCGATCGTAAGCCCGTCAGGGACCATGACTGCTATGGAGGTTCAGATTCCAGCACAGGCAAAGTGAGCCGAGGAACACCATTCCCGGAGCTTGCATCGACCTCCATCGACAGTACCTGGTGCAGTTCATTGTGGATACCTCCGCCGGATTCATTGTGTGCCCTGGCTTCAGGCTTTTGAGGTTCGCATTCACTTCCCGCTCTGCGCTCTGCAGCTTGAGCAGCTGCTGTGCGGTTCACCCAGCTTGTGTAGTTCTGCTTGAAATGCATTTAACATGTCGAGCATTAGCCAGACTCCTCCCTTTATCCCAAAATCAAGCTGTTCTAGTCCTTGGGCGGCAGTCGGCCAGAGCCCAGCCCCAGACGCTGCCAGGAAGGGCGTGACCCTCACCCAGGCCATGTTCCTGAAGCAGCTTTATCTCTTGGCCACGGTTCTCACAGGACCCGGGTCCGCTGCGAGTCCTTTCAGGAGTTGAGGGCTTGCGCCTGGCAGAGAAAATTTGAACCTAGGGACCCCACGAAACTGAACTTAATCCTGAAGCCTCAACTCTGACTCCCGGAACTAGAACTCAAGCTCGAGGACCCTCAGGTCTCAAGTAAAACCTGCACAAGAAGGTCTTAACTCTAAGCCTCCAAAAACTCATGGCTTTTGAACTGATGCGCGTGTTGTAACGGGCAAGGCAGTGCCCGGTTCGCCCCCAGCGCAACAGAAAGCAACTATTCCGCTGCAGAATGAATAAGCGTGATAGAGATGTATCCAAAGCCAAGCAGCACAAGCTGTGAGAGAACAAGATGTAGCTCAACTCAGCACTGGCAAGAAACCGTTAACTTTGCTCATCGTCGGACTGTGATTCTGAACACCGGCTCCAGGCTTGTTGGGTATCTTCATCCGCCTCTACCTTTGATTGCCGCCAGCACGGTGAGAGCAGAAGTTCCCGGTGGCCCTCAACATCCCCAATACCCTTTCAGCTCTGATAGTTGTTCGTAGCTTTAAACAGGAGCAAGTGACAATAAGTTAGCATAGATCTCCTAGATTGATGACCCACGTATATGCATTATGCGCACATACATGCATACCTCTCAGGGCCCGTTTCTTCGTGGCTCTTTCTCTGCCCCGGACCTGAGCGCCCTTGAAGGGAAGCCGTCACCAGGGCTTGCTCCCTGAGAGCAGAGTAATTACCCTCTACAGACTCTAGAGCTGAGGCCTTTTTTGGGGTTAGGATTTAGAGAGATCTAGGGTTTAAGGCTAGGCCTGCTGTTTTGGCTTTTGGGTATGGGTTCAAGGGGTTGAGGGGTCTAGAGTTTGGAGTTTCGGGTCTCTGCCTCTGCCCTTTTACCAATGGACTTCCGAGTCTCAGCGCATTTTGGAAATCGGTTTTTGTCGGCCAAGCCGCAAGGATTTCTGTTTCATCCGGCGACGGGTGAGTGTGGAAAAAGCAGGACCCATCGATGAAGAGGCAATTTAGGCCTTCTTGCTTTCCCCGATGTTCTCGGTATGACCTTGAGTCACCGAAGCCCTCGAATCGGGCTGCTTTGCTGTAATCGATGTGTCTGCGGGCTTGTTTGGAGGTTCAGGAGGCGCGGGGCTGCAAGTAGTCTTGCTTGCGAGTTGTAAGCGGCTTAACCTGTGTTTTTTACCCGTGTCTGCGGCTACGAACCCCGGACGGAGCCTTGAGGTTCCGAGCAATGCAGTGGATGCCATAGAGGGGCTTGACTAGTTACCAGTGCTATTGCTCAGGATTCCTGGTCATTTATATACAGAGTATACCCCGAATTCCTTATTCTAGCTATCATGACCCCCTACATTAGGATCTGAACTGCATTCGCCGATTGGGATGATAGTTCAAAGCCCCTGGAGTACGGAACCCAATACTGAGGCCTCACTTTAAATTAAGATTCCTCGTTACTTCACATTAGAATAGGGTTCCTTCTTACTTTAAGGGGGCTTAGGGGAGGTTTAAAGAGGGTTTTAGGGGACTACAGAGGGAGCTTAAGGATAGAACTCAAAGGGGGGGGGGGCTTACTTAATACAATAGTGATACGGTTGATGATATAATTCCTGCATTACCCATAATAAGGAATATACCTTAGTTCCCATAGTTTAGGGCCCTTAAGGTAATGTAGGACTATAACATCAACCGTAGATCCAGTGCTTTCGAAGTCATGTCAGGCCGCAGAGCTGAAGCCGAGTTTAACCCTTCTTCCTGGTCTCACTGCGCCTGGTATTGGTGCTATTATTGTTTCCATTACTATTGTTTAAAACATATTGCTACTATCTTTTAAACTACTATGACTTTCATTCTTCCATTGTTGCTGCCATTATTATTGTTATTAGTATTATTATTACTATTGCGATAATACTAGCCGTTACGTTAAATCCGTCTTGTTCTTCGTGTCACTAGTGTTATTTGTTATGACCATTATTACTATACCACTAGTGTTATTGTTTGTATTGCAACAATTACGACTGGTAGTGTTGTTCTCCCCCAGTACCATGAAGTTCCCAAAAAAACTTCTTCGCGCTGCCGCTGACACTCAGCACAAGTTTCCTTGGGGGCCGCGGGCTTTTCTTTAGCCATGGCTGACTCCGACTCTGATGAGGTCTTGGAGTCTGCCGATTGGATGAAAAATGGATTCTTACTTGGGAGTCGTATTGGGGTTCTTACCCGGGTGGGGTTCAGGGTTTTAGGTTTCAGGGTGTAGGCTTCTTTCTACCTCAGGTTACCTTTCGTCTTCGGGCTTCATGCTTGGAGTTCCGCCAGAGGGTTTAGAAAGCAGAGCCTCCAACCCCGACAGCGTGCACATACACACATGTATGGAGACGCAAAAAAGCACAGATAGAGTTGCTGCGATGCAGGTGGTTTCCAAAATGCACACACGTGCACGCGCGTGCACGCACAGACACACGTGTTTCGTGATATGTAGAAGCATACACATGTTTGTGACTTTATGTCATGTTATTATGGTTCTCCTTTTATGATTGTTGCTAATAGCACTACTTTTCTATTCATTCATATCACTAGCATAGTGTATCAGTGCTTCTATTTTATGAATCGGCGGGCCCTTCGTGTACTTTAGCAGGGTTGCTGCCGCGTGCATCGCTCCCCCAAGTCTTTACTGCTGCCAGTATTGTTATCGCGCACATGCATATATATATATATACATAGACAACAAAATGAACAAATCTATATACAGATATACACAGACACAGACACGCACGCATACACACACACACACACACACAAAATATAGATTTGCGTGTGTGTTTACAGACCAAGGCGACCGGAAACTGACATCATAGTGCGAACTTGGGAAATGGATCCGATCTGTGGTTAACACTGCGACAGTTTGGAAAATGGCCCCAGCAGACGTTATCGATGAGAACGGCGCGACTGTTCAAGGTTGGCCTGCGCAGTTTTTTTGGGGCGAGGGTTGAAGTTTCAGGTTCTTTGGGTGTTTTATTGTATTTTTCGTTGTAGATAGATGCGGCGGCACAGATGCATGCACACACACCGGCATGCCAGATGCAAGGAGGCACCGGTAGATAGGTTCTCTTACTGTCTGCAGAGGTCCATGCATGCCCGCGCGACAGCATACTGGCATCTGACCTTACTCCGTCCGTACAATCCGGAAGAGCATGGTCCGTGCACACGGACACAAACATATATTGCATGTTGGTATAAATGTATGTAAAATAAATAAGTACATGAACAGCTAAAATGTCCATGTATGTATATATATATATATATAACTATATATATAACTATATATATATATATCTACAAATGTCATATAGGCAACTTTGGTAAATAAGTTCACATCTGCATCTATACACAGGCAGTCACATGTTTGTATACACATGCTTGCATGCATCCATACGCACACGCAGCTATGACCATGCATACACTCCTCGATGCGAACTGCAGCTACACATGCAGATGCACCGGCATACATGCATGTAGATCGTAAGGGGTAGGTGCATGTATATTTAATCGCAGTACCAGCAAAGCAATGCAAGTACTCATGATTTCTTGCTGCTTTTGTGCATACAGTGACATACAAGTATCAGATAGCAAGGCTGACGAATCGATGGACCGACGGAGAGCGAGGGAGAGAGAGAGAGAGAGAGAGATGGAGATGTGCACAGACAGGCAGACACAAACACGGAGGGACGAACACAAAGAGACACAGGGACAGGGTGGGAGGTAAGCATTGTGAGACGTGTTCTTGATCGGCTGCAGGCTAGTATCCAAAGGTGTTGGGGCATCCGGGTCTTGATTTTGGCAAGCATCCTACCGGACCCTTCCAAAAGCCACAAGACCACAGCGATCGTTTTGATCAGAACAACGATGCTCTACCCTATGCCGTTGATGACCTTTAGACGTCTGCTTGAGGTGCCCAAGACCCCCAAGAAGAAGGGTGTGGACCCGAGCGCCACGCCTCCGAAAGTGAAGAAAAGTCGCAAGCGCCCCTTGAATGGCTTGGTCTTGGGGGTTCTGGCTCGGGTTTCCCGGTTGTGGGTTTGTTGTCTCGGAGTTCGGGGTGGAGGGGTTGGTGGACACAAGATCTGGCGACTGCTCTCGCCGAGCTGAGCACATGAGAAAAGCAAATCGTAGAGATGATGACGAGTTCAAGATATTTGCCAAGCATTGCTGCAAGTTTTGAAGAGCTCGCAGTGACGACGTCGATGCTGACGTTCGGCGATGTTGATGATGATGTAGGGTGTTGATGGCGAGGGTGACAGAGTTGGTATGTACCACCTCAATTCCGGACGTTCTGAAGCCTCTCCGATGCCGATCGTTTGGCCTTTTGCCGTCATCCTCCAGCTTCAAGCCTAAGTGAACCTGAACTGTGAAGCCTGCGCTAGGCCAGTGAAGGCATCTTTGCTGTTGTCTTCGCTAACATCTGACTCTGCGGGATTGTGGCTTCTTTGCCCCTTTGAGAGGTCTTCGGAGCCTTGGTTGCAAACCTGAGGTAGCCCCCCCTCGGAAGCTGAGACGCCAGCGAAGCGCAAGAGAGGCTCGGGGGCTGGGAACGAGCAGATGCGGGATCTGAGGCTGCGGGCGGTGGGCCGATTCGGTCTCTTCTACTCATAAAGGAAGCAGTTGGAATCCGTGTTTTCGGCCCGCCCCTGGCAAGCGTAGCAGCTGTGATGGTGGTGATGCTACTGGTGATGGTGATCTCGAGCAACGTACTCCGATCAGGACTTGCCCTGCTCTGAAATGCTTGAAATTAGCGACCGCAATGGTCAAGACCGAATGTGCAGGGCGCACCTCTTCACCCACAGTCTCGCGATCGGCACCCGCAGGCTCTGCTGGAATTTTTATGCAGGTAGCTTGGAGAAGCGGGCAGGCTAGAAACAACGGCAGCTGTCGATTCTGTGGGCCTTTGCATCCAAGTTACGGCCGCCATCATTCTGACAGCAAGGGACGACGCTTCAACGAGAAAGATGTTGCACTTTTTGGCTGTACAGGCACTGCACCACCTACGCCACGGCGAAGCGCTTCGGACTTTGTTTGGCTGCATCTCAGGGTCTCCGTGGTTGTCACCGGCCTGTAGATGCTTGTAATCGGACTCCGAATGCCCTTCTGCCTTCAAGTCACTCTCACACCGAAGTGCAACATGCAGCATGTCCCAGCTTTTCAGGCGCTGCGCCGTCGACGCCGCAAGGTGCCATGGGCCTTGTGCTGTCTCTGGGTTTTGGTTGCTGGTACGCGCAAGTCCGGTGCCGGAGGCTCTTTCAGTCACCCTCGCACCCAAGATCTCCCGGCTTTTTAGGTGCAATGCCGTCCACGCCACGTGCAGCGCCCTCGACGCCAAGAGGTGGTGCGGACATCTGCTGCATTCATGTTTGCGGCTGTAGATGCTGGAGCTTGGATCTGCCGCTTAATGTAGCGCATGCTACATGTCCTGGCCTTTCGTTTTTGGTAGGAAAAGGACAGTACCATGGAGCTGCATAGCCAGCGCCATTGTCATTGGCCTGGTCACCATCACCCTCGTCAAATCCTGCGCGCCTCCTCCTCCTCCTCCCCCTCCTCAGCACCTTCCTCCTCTTCCTCTTCCTCTTCCCGCTCATCATCATCCTCAAACTCAGACATCATCACCATCATCATCATCATCATCACCATCATCATCGTCATCATCATCATCATCATCATCATCACCGTCATCATCGTCATCATCATCATCATCATCATCACCAACCCTAAACCCTAAACCCTAAACCCTAAGCCCTAAGCCCTAAGCCTTAAGCCCTAAACCTGAAACGAGAAAGATGTTGCACTTTTTGGCTGTACAGGCACTGCACCACCTACGCCACGG